ACACCCTTGACTCAATTGAGGTTCCGGGAAGAACCCCCCACACTCAAGATAACCATACCGTCCGTGCTCAGAGACAGGGATTGGTTTGCATAAGTACCTACAAACCGTTGCCCTCACACTGCGGAAAGTTACGTTGCCCTTGAGTGTCCCCGTGAGCTGCGGGTACTTGCCCGTTTTCACCTCCAGGAAAGGTTACTTCCAAAGTCGAGGATTTGCCCACTGAATGCTGGTCGCACACAACAAATAATATATATATGGGCAAATAATATATGGGGAAATAATAAATATATGGGCAAACATTATGATCCCAATCAAGAAAGTGTGTATTTAATATATTTAGATTGTAACTCACTATACTCCACAGCTATGTGTGAGCCACTACCCGTGGATGGATTTCGTTGGACGAATGAGATAGACTACAAAAACAATCAAAATGATGAGTTTGGATATATTTTAGAAGTTGATTTAAAATATGATAAAAGCTTACATGATTTACATAATGACTATCCATTAGCACCTGAGAAAATGAATGGCAAATTAATACCTAATTTAAATGACAAAACTAAATATATTTTACATTATAAAGCATTACAAAAATATTAGGAATTGGGTTTGGTTGCTACAAAATATCATAGAATTTTAAAATTTAGACAATCAAAATGGCTTGCACCCTATATTAATTTTAATATTGAAAAACGCAAATGTGCTAAAAATGATTTTGAAAAAGACTTTTACAAATTGTTAAATAATAGTCTCTTTGGTCGAACAATTATGAACCAACGCAAGTTTCGTGATATATATCTCAAGGATGAGTCACTATTAACAAAATATGTCAATAATCCAAGGTTTGACTGTAGCAAAAAGTTCGATAACAATTTACATGCTATATATCCTTATATATAATACGTGAAGGCGATTTCTACAAAACACTACTCCTCCGTTAATAATGGACGGATTTTTACAAACGATGCGTCAAAATAAAGTATTTTTTGTGTAGACGCCCTCTTTCAGCAATTCCTGTAATAAAAATCCTCGGGCTTTGCCCCACAGGCCATAAAAGTTGGATTTTCTCCCATAAGATTAACATGGGGGAATTTAAATATTTAATTGGAAAATTTGTCCCCACTAATTTGAAAGAACGGCTGGGCGTAGACACTTGGTAGTGGTGTTCAAAGAAAGGTCTTGGTCTGTACATGAGTTATCAAAAGAAAAACTACGCAAAATCCTTTAGGGCTCTGCCCCAGAAGCCTTTAAAGATCCTTCCACAGAGTTGTTTACATTTTGGCCATGTGAATAATACTTATTAATAAAACAGCTGTTCATTTTTAAATTGTATTTCACATTATTTATTGGGAGTTACTGAATTGTACCAAATAAGTATTTGCAATGTTATTTTCTAATTTTAAAATTAATTTTCCTCTTCATCATGTCATGTTTTGCAATATAACGTTCCATTACGAAATCAGTCGAAAATCCTTTTTTCATAATGATGTATTTGCGAAGGTCCCCATTTTAATTCAAAATTATCCTAGCTAATCACAGCAATTCTTAAATTATTTCTTATTGAACTTTCATATATCTATTGTACGGGTTGGTGTCTGCCTTTTTAACCACTTTTGCCTACATTTTATCATATTATTCTACACATATCAAATATTTATGTAGAAATATCTGCTCTTATCGTGTCTAATAAAATCCAAACATGCCCTAAAATCACCTTGCCTAAAATGGTACCCATCTTGACAAATTATTTGCACCTGCCTATATTACGGACTTTGGCGCACTGGTTTGGTAACATTATTGAAAATAACACGACATTTTGGCTGTAAAATATAGCACAAAGAGAAAATACTATTTAAGCAGCTACTGTCATGACAGAAAGGTCATATTCCTTTTAAACTAGATCACATAATCCTTTATAAGATACGTTGATTACCAATATGTAAACGTCAATATATACGTAATAGCCAATTTACAGTATTTTTGCTTTTTCGAAATGTCCCATTGCTATGTCATTTGCATTATTTGTTGCCAATGAAGCCGCCAAGACCATATAAATGAAGAGGACCCTAACAGTTCAAGAATAAAAGCAAACTTAACTTCAAGTATTCCACTACACCTAACATTTCTTTAAAGAGATTATTTTGACAACTTTATGTTATTGATAAGGCTGAGACAACTAACTGACATCCCCGATCCCCCATGTCAAGGAATTTCAGCTTTAATAGTAACCCCACAATCTATTTCTCTAAACTATGCTTGAGGGTTCATTCATTGGCACAGAAGTACGATATGAACTGACGCGACTTGACGAAGGAAAAATCAAACTTACACTGTAACGGATATACCTTCCTTTGAAGTTAGAATATGTCTTCCCAAAAAATATTTTCTTTTAAAATAAAATCATTATACACTGATGAAATCACAGAAGTGTGTAACTACAAAAGACCCACCAATACGATTTTAATACTATTTAAAGGTTCTTCCAAAGGAAGAGATATCATATAACATACTAATAATAACTCCGATGAGCTCGATGACGTACGGTATGGGATATATTTTAATCTTTGAATGATCAACCAAATTTGGCAACTAACGCAATTAAAATCATTATTGTTTTTACACTTATTTCCCTTTAAACAATGCTAAATGCTCAAAATATGTATATTTCACCCAATTTATCGCTGTTAGATAAATTAACGTAAGCCTTGAATGTAACCGTCGATTTCGACGGGTTTCACCTAGTTTAAATAAATTAGTTGTAAAGTTTAATAAACCTATATATTTGGGAATGACCATTTTGGATATTAGTAAAGTAATAATGTATGATGTCCACTATAATTATATGTCAAAATTTAAGAACAAAAGATTTCTTATGACAGATACAGATTCTTTAATGTATTCTATAGTTACAGAGGACTTTTACAAGGAAATAGAATGTGACTTGCACTATTTTGATACCTCTGGATATAGTAAAGACCATTTCTTATACTCTGATGAAAATAAAAAAGTTACTGGCAAGTTTAAAGACAAATTAGATGGTCATATTATGTATGAATATTGTGGTTTAAGACCAAAGTTATATTCTTATATTCCTAAAAAATGGTTATATGAAGAAGACAAGCAAGCTTTAGAGGTCAAAAAAGCTAAGGGAGCTGATAATGCCTTTGTTAAACATCTCCTCAGACATCAACATTATTTGAACTGTCTTATAACTGGACAAAATTACTATGAGAATGTGACAAGAATTAAATCTACAAATCATCATCTTCAAACCTTGACCATGAACAAGAAAGTACTATCCTTTGACGATGACAAGAGGTTTATTCTGGAAGATGGCATCAATACTCTTGCGCTTGGTCATTATAAATTGATCAAACATAAATCTATATTTGCCATTATTCTTTGACCTTTCTTTGTCTATTACGAAAAAGCCATATTTAGTTTTATCCCAACATTGATGACAGAGATTTTTAAATTGTTCAAATGAAAAGTCATTACCAACATGATTGTGATATACATGTTTTAAATTTAAGTCATCTTGTTTGAATAATATTAGGAAACTAGAGAACCTGTGCGGCTCAATGAACCGCATAGTATGAAACATAACGCCGAGGAAAACATTATGCTTAAATATTTGAGTAAGTTAATTCTAGTTACATCTTAGAGTTGTTTAAACACTTGTTAGAAACTAATTTTAAATATCTCTATTTGCGTCGTCAAGGTTCACCTACATTATAGTATTAGCAAAACGGGAGTGCCGATGGAGACCAGGTAGTTTCACTCACACACACGCAGGCCTCACACTTACAAGCGCAGGGGATTAGGACCGTCCGTATTTCCGCCTCTCCAAATATTCTATTGTTCTTAACCAATAAAAATAAAAATATTGTTATTTGTAATTTTATTTTGATATGTTTATTATTTTTGAATTCCTCGCATTATAACATGAAAAATCATACCAAATAACGTATAGATAACTGTATATTTACCATTCATAGGGCCTATTATTAAATCACTTTTAATAAAAACTTGATAACGTCCTTAATCTACAAGCATTCCAGGTATAAAAACTCAAACTTCGTGTAAATTTAAAAAAATTTAATTTTTTATTCATTAAAATATACACTAAAAAAATTTACAAATAAAATTTACTTATAATATTTACATAGCATGTTTTATTTTCAAATACATAACTAATACCAGAATGTCATGAAATAAATATTTCTAACTATATCGAAAGTTACAAAAGATATTTTACACTTTTTTGAAAGACAAATAAACAGAATAAATTAAAATGAGTCATAGGAAAGATATTATTAAATTGTTTAAACAATATTGGATGCCCGATAAAAACTACTGAACAAAACAAATGATATAACTATGGATTATTAATAATTTTCAAATAGAAATAATATTATATTTACATAATTTACAGTAAAATGCATTATTAACTATCATAAAATCAATGTTTTAGACTACAACCGGCGTTAAAAGCACGTGTAACACAAATAACAATAAATAAACAGGACAAATTTTAGTCAACAAAAATAAGAGTAAAATATATCCACATTAAACGTGAACTAAGATTCGTCCAATGCCCGAAAATAATTTAACAGAATTGAATTAAATTAATGCTATTTTTATGGTTCATGATTTAACAACAATTTAACAATGTTATTTATTTACATAATTTAAATTAAAATACATAAAATACTAACCGTCATCAAATAAATGTGTCATACTACATCGGTCGTTAATAGGACGTGTAACACTTAAAAAAAATTAATAAATAGGACAAATGAATTAACAACAACAATGATCAATATAAATAAGATTAAAACGTGTGAAGAAATTAAATGAAAATTTGTCCAAAAAATACAGATTTAAGTATTTCAAACCAACGTCGATGTCAGAAAATGAATATTATAATTTAGAAAAAATTAATATTCACATATTGTCAAACTATATACATTATGAGTTATCTTATACAGGAAAACTTACAGTGGAGTGACGCCCAAATCGTCTTCTTCACTATCACTGTCTTCGTCACTGTCCTCATCACTTTCTCCAGGAATTAAGTTTATAAGAAACTGCTGCACACAATTTTGGTCAAGTCTTTCCTTCTTCCAATCTTCGTCCAATACACCTTCGACATGGTCCACATACTTTTTCCACATTCCTGGTGTCACGGTGCTCGTGGCTTCGTAGAATAATTCCTGAACATCTTGTATTTTGAAAGAAGTATTTCTATCCCTGACAATTCTTTTTAGATGTGCCCATACCATCTCAATAGGATTATATTGACAGTGATATGGGGGGAGACGTATAACTTGAAATCCCATTTCAGCAGCCTTGTCGTCAATCACGTAGGTAGGCACTGGAGGCTTGTTGAGACGTACAAGCTGGTACAGTTCAGGCCGTTTCAAGTCTTTTGCGAAGGGAATTCCTCGCTTTTCCAGCCACTCTATCATCACAGCTTTCGTCGACGATGAAGTCGGCGTCTTCTCCTTTATTCTCGAGTGATACGACGCATTGTCCATCACTATTGTAGCACCACGAGGAAGAACTGGAATTGAGGTGCTAAAAAACCACTTTTCAAACACAGTACTGTTCATATCCTCGTGATAATCACCTGTCTTCTTTGATTGAAATAGTAGAGGCGGTGCTTTAATCCATCCACTGGAACCTCCTGCATGACAAACAATCAGGCGTTTACCTTTGCCCAAGGGGGAAGCAAGGGTGCATTTCACTGAGTCGTCCGTCCAACCTTTATCTTTGCTTTCATTCTGATTCACCCACGTTTCGTCCAGGAAATATGTTTTTGAAAGGTCCACACTTTTCATTTTGCGTAGGAAACGACACCTCAACAAAACGATTGATGGTTTTTCGATCAAAATCTTCCTTTTTTCAAACTTTTTATATCTAAAACCAAGTTGCTTTAAAAGAGTTCGCAGCGAGCCGTAACTTCCATGAAATAAGTCGGCGTTCTTTAAGGACTGTATTAACCTCGACAAAGTCGGTACTTCTTTTTTATCTTAATATGCCATAATGTGACGACGCACTGCTGCCATGTCAAACTCATCCAAACCCGTCACTCTTCTTTTTTTCATATGTGATCCTTTTCTTGGAGTACGCAGAACAACGTTGGTAGAAATGGGGAGTTGATCTGGAATTTGGTCCTCCACAACATCCATTCCATCATCCGTTAAATCTAAATTATCAGCTGCAGCAGTTTTCGTAACCTCACGCACTAGTGCTTTAATATTTCCAACAGTTTTCAATGAAATGCCGCATACGTCTGCAGTTCGTTGCAACACCTTTTTAACGTCAAGTAACGGTCCTTTGTTTATTTTCTCACTTTCAAAATAATTAATAACTCTCGATATGATTGTCCTTGCCTGCGAATGAATCACTTGGCGTTTTTTCGCAGAAGACATATTTTCTAAGCATACACACTAAACGCATACAACTATAATTAGTAAAAAAAACACATATATGCAAATGAAAAACGGGCTGCTGAAACCGATTGACCGCACTCACATTGCTGCACACTCCGAATACCAAGTTGCTATTGATATGACAACACTCGAACAACCCGTTAGCTTAAACGCAAAATTCTCTGACTCACACTTATGAATCATATTAGCCAGTACTTTGCTATTGACACTAGGTCAGTTACTCATAGGGGTCAAAGGAAGCGTGGACCTAATCCCTTGCGCCTGCGAGTGTGGGGGTGCGTGTTTGTCACGGCACTTGACCCGGCTTCCATCGGTGCTTGTGGTTTGCTAACATAAAAACCAAATTAATTTTGTAATATAATTTGTTACATTAAAATAATAATAATGGTTTATTACAACCCTTAAAGTCGACCGATTAACATGGGACAAACACACAATTGTTTGTATTATGATAACAAACAATACAGTATCAAGTATTTTGGTAAATAATAATTATTTATTAAATTTCGGCTATTAAGTAGAGTATTCGGTGAGGCGTAGCTAATGGGATTTAAAGGCCGGGCCACCCCAACTATTCATCGGCCAACCCTGTCCCTTGCGCCCGTGAGTGTGGGGGTGCGTGCGTGTGAAGGGACTTGACCTGGTCTCCATCGGCACTCCCGTTTTGCTATTACTATATTTCTGCTCTCAGTTTTAACTGATAACTTCTAATTAATGCTTAACGATCTGCTTCAATTCGAGCTAACATTTTGCAACAAAGTTTTTCCAGCATTGAGAGAGAATTGAAGAAAACTGTTGCCTAGACATCCCCCTAATCAAACGAATTTTCTCCGTAGATAATCCTGAAAAGTGGAGTGATATCAACCATTTAAAGTGCTCAATTTTTTACCCCCAAACTCTGGGTTATCAACTGGAAAGCCATAATCTGCTTTGAATAGGCTAAAGCAGCAACACCATTGATAGTTTGTTAACGTATTTTAACGTGTTGTGTGTTAGTCACAGTATATGCTCCGCATCAGAACTTTCTCATCCACGTTGTTCAGTGGGGTTTCTCTTAATACCTGTCCCAAAGTTTTGAAAGTATGGATTCATTTGTCGAAATAGGTTGGATAACTCTTGTAGCTATAAGATTTGGATAGCAATTTTCATTTTCACTTTTTGAACGGCGTATATTATTTGCCTCTCCTGAATCATAAAAATAAACGACTGTAACTACTCGGTCGTTGAATACATAAACACTATTTCCTTCACTTATGTCTAATATTGCCACTAAAATTCAGTCAAAAAACGTTGTATAAGTTTGTCCAAGGAACTGGCAACATAACCTAGAAGTAAACAATCCATTTGTATTTTTCCTCAATTAAAGTAGAGCGAGTACCTAATACAAAAGTTTACAATAAAAACATAAGGTCCGCCAAGATTTGGTATAGGCCTAATCTTACTACTTGAACTTATCAACTCAAGGCATTATCATGGTTTCTACTAAATGTTTTGAAATATCTCGAACTGTCAGTGTCATAAGAATTTCTTGCCTACATTCATTTGATCTGACATTAGGTAAGTTTATTTTACCACCGTGACAACACTATGTGCTTTGTATATTTTTTGACTTCCAAAGTAAATTGCATAGCAGAACTGGCAAATATTATTCATCTCACCAAGTGAATGTGTATATGGATGTGTGTGTTGGACCAGGCCTCTCTTTTTCTACTCTCCTTATACGCGTAAGATACCTTATTATTAATTGTCTCTTCCTCCCGTTTTCAATATTTCTTCTTTGAACTTCAGGCATTTTCCGTTCATCCAACAAAACTGATTAACTGTTTAACTTGGTCTTAACCTACTGAATATTTTAAACATTAATATTTATTTACTCTCAAAAAGCTAATGAGTTTCTTTTTATAAACAGCTGTTTTTAGCGAATTTCCCATATAGGGAATAAGCTATTACCGTAGTACTCATGGTAAGACCTGGACGCGGGACCGATTTTTTTTTTTCGTTTTGAGGTCCCTAGAGACCAAAAACACCATCCGTTCAAATTCATATATATATATATATATATATATATATATATTTATATGTGAAAAATAGAAAAATAGGGCTACTATATATAAATAAAGATTAAACATTAAAAAACTTAGTACCCAAGTAAAATTATTTATTAAAATATTTACTGACTATAGTTTCGGCTCTAAGGCCATTTTCAAAGTAAACAAAAATCAAAATAAGATATGTAAATAAATAAATAACATATATTATAAAACTTATCTAACTTGTAACAAAATTTTGTCTTCATTGATTAATTTATATACTATATGATGTGTTGTACTTATTTTCATTAATATTTTCTCAATTTTGCTATTGTTTCATATATTGGATTATTCAATTTTGGAATCATTGTATTTAAAATATTTGATTTGTTATTTTTGTAGTTCATATAAATATTAATTTCTTCTTTTACATTCAATTTTTCTCTGTCTTTTTCAATTTCTAATATTGTTAAGTTTTCTTCGATCTTAGTAAACTTATGTTTGGATTTTAGTAAATGATCTGCAAAATTTGATTTCATTGATGTTTTGTTCTTCGATTTGTATGCCTGTATATGTTCGTTGAATCTAACTTTAAAATTTCGATAGGTTTGTCCAATGTAGTAGTTGTCACAGTCAGAACATTTAATTTTGTATATATACCAGATGCATTTTAAATATTTGCTGTATTGTTTGTTATAGGATTGTTGGTTTTATTGTGTATTATTTTAAAAATGTTATTTTTTGTTCTGTAGCTTAATTTTACTGGGGTATGTTTGAATGTTTTCCTGATTGCTTTGTTAAAATTGTTGTTGTATGGGACGCACATGAATTTCTTTTCTTCTTTGTGTTTTGAATTGTTTTCTAAGTTTGATTTTAATTCATTTCTTTTCTTAATTTTCTTCTTGATCATATTATCGATCATTTTGCTTCTATATCCATTTTTTTCAGCTAGATATTTTATAGTGTCGACTTCTTTCTTGTAATTTTCTTTATTTAAAGGAACATTGACTAATCTGTGTATTAATGAATGAAAAGTTGCAATTTTGTGTGTCCATGGATGATTCGAATTTTTTGGAATTATTATGTCTGTAGTTGTGGGTTTTCTGAATATGTTAAAAGAATGTTTGTTGTTTTGGATGGAAATTGTTAGATCTAGGAAATTGATAATAACACATCAATCACATAATACTTTATAAGATAGGTACGTTGATTAACAATATGTAAACGTCAATATATACGTAACAGCCAATTTACAGTATTTTTGCTTTTAGGAAATGTCCCATTGCTATGTCATTTGCATTATTTGTTGCCAATGAAGCCGCAAGGCCGTATGAACTAGGAGGCCCCTGACAGTTCAAGAATAAAATCCAACTTCACTTCAAGTATTCCACTACACCTAACATTCCATAGAGAGATTATATTGACAACTTTATGTTATTGATAAGGCTGAGACAACTAACTGTCATTCCCCATGTTAAGGAATTCCAGCTTCAACAGTAACCCCAAAATAAATTTCTCAAAAGTATGCTAGAGGGTTCATTCATTGGCATAGAAGTACGTTATGAACTGACGCGACGTGGCGAAGGAAAATCAAACTTACACTGTAACGGATATACCTCCCTTTGAAATTAGAATATGTCTTCCCAAAAAATATTTTCTTTTCTAATAAAATCATATTACACTGATGAAATCACGGAAGTGTTTAACTGCAAAAGATCCACCAATACGATTTTAATACTATTTAAAGGTTCTTCTAAAAGAAGTGATACCAGATAACATACTAACAATAACTCCAATGACGTACGGTATGGGGAACATTTTATTCATTGAATGATCAACCATATTTGGCAACTAACGCAACTAATATCATTATTGTTTTTACACTTATTACTCTTTAAACAATGCTAAATGCTCAAAATATGTGTATTTCACCCAATTAATCGCAGTTAGATGAATTAACGTAAGCCTTGAAAGTAACCGTCGATTTCGACGGGTTTCACCTAGTATAATAGATTAGTAAATGTCAAACAAGAATTGGTGTTGAAAAGATCCAAAAATGATTTGAATTGTATATTAACAACCACTAGTGCTCCAGCCAGTGGCACTGCTGATAAGATTCCTAAAATTACACTTAACTCAATTCAATGGGTAATGCCACATGTGATACCATCAGATGGAGAGAAGTTACAATTACAAAAGATGTTATTGCAAAATAAAAATTTACAAATTGCATTTAGAAGTTTAGAGTTGCATGAACTTCCATCATATCCCAATACTACAAGACATACATGGTCAGTAAAGACATCTTCAAGTTTGGAGAAGCCTAGGTATATTATATTTGGTTTCCAAACAGCT